ATCAGTGAAAGCGTCGATTTCTGGAAACAGTGAGCCGCAGATTACGTGGCTGGCTGCTCTTTGTCTGTTACATCCGCCTGTTTATATTATTATCTGCTGACGAGAGGCAGCGAAATCCCACCTTCTGCGATAAAACTTCTATTGAAAGGGTCTAAGTGCGGCTCACTATACACCAGGGTCTGTTTAATGCATCAGATACTCTCATCGTCCAGTGACGCAGCTGTTCAGACCCCATCGTGGCTATGCACAAATCAATCTCGAGTGTAAACATATCCACAGACCTACAGAGCACGAGGAATTAAATATGGAAAGCCATCTCAAGTGCTTGCGTGCGGAGCCAGAGGGTATGCTTGTCAGTAAGCCCTTTGCAAAAAAGTCAAGTGCGTCATAAGTGCTTGGACCTACAGGCAGAGATAAAGATTATTGTAGATTGACTAGTATACCCGATGTGCGACAGAAAAGGCGGCCTTCAAGATGTTATGTGTGTCTCAATCCCGAACCATAGAAATTCAGATAGGCCGTTATTAATCGCCTGTAACGCTGCCATAAGCTAGATAAACTTTTAGATGATCCCGTCGGGCATAGACATGTGATTTCTTTTGAGTCTTACCAGCTTAAAGCGGCTGAAATGAACTTTTTCAATCTGGATAAGGAGCCAATATGTCTTTGCCAAGGCTAATATTGCACCTGTCTAACTCTTTTCCGTTTGAAGATACAAATCATGAGTTGTTGCACACAGCAACGTTGTCACCACATTTCTCAATATGGTTCTTCTTGTTGACAAGTATAACGTTAAGCGAAACAGCCCGTTTCGGGTGGATGGTTTGGCGATTGGGCGGTCGGATCAGCAAGATTTGAAATTTCTTTCCTGCTATGATGGTGAAGTTGTCAGTTTTATAAGCTGATAGATGCAACATATTTGCGTTGTTTGAAGTTTGAATGGCAAAGAGTATGTGAGCTCAGATGCCAATTTTTAGATGCGCTCGATTGCACGTTCCATTTTTTTAAGCTTGCTGTATCACAGGATTTGACATACAACGTATGTTTTTTTCTCATGATGGGGTCTTCAGATCTGTCAAACTTACTTTTGACGTTCTGCTTGTCCACCTAGGGAGAAAAATCACATACCGCTTCGTGAGTCCTATATATTGGTAGTCTCAAATAGTACGTACGTACATATGTGTGCGCGCGCGTAAAACGTGTCAATGCGTTAAAACTCTACCGCATGCGTGATTGCACTTGGTCAATCTGCCGATTCCAGCAAGGAATTAGTAGTCCATAAGTAGGACGCATATGGATTCTATTTGAATTGTGGTCTATGTGAACTTCCAGTGCAAGGTACTATCTTTCGCTGCTGTGGCAATTACGTAACCGTTCAAATACATCCAAGCTGTCTTTGACAAACAGTTTCGCTAGCATGCTTGTCAGTGACCGATGTTATAGTTAGAGCTCTCATCTTATAACAGATTTTCAGTATATCTTGTTTAGCGTTCAAGGCAAATTGAACATGTCCACGGTAAGCCATTCGCCACAAATGGTTTAACGGGACACGGTTACCGTGTGTTGGTCAAAACCAGCTAAAGCATTTGCGCGGAGAGCTTGAAGTGGCGCAGATAATTGTTCATAATCATTAAGATTGGGATGAATAATGCTGTGCACGCGTCTACAATCTTTATCTCTTTGTATAACGTGTTTGACTGACCGTCGGGGAAATTCAATGTTGAGTGTCATGCGCTCCGATTTGGCGACGCTTTGCTGAGAGCCAGAATGTTCGAAAGCAACACGCTGATGCCAGATGCAGGCGAAACACATAGTGTGAAAAGACAATATTGAATGCGATTCACTTGTATAGACATACCGTATCTATGGTCTACATTACTAGGCTGCATATATCAGACCGCTTGATGTTGTGTGAAAGAGGAAGCGAGTTATACTGTCAACATCTCGATGAGAATTCAATCATATCATGTGTACTACTTGTGCTTACTTAAGCGATTAAATGAGCACATTACTACAAGCCAATAAATGTGGAGTGCTCTATTGTAAACGGAGCAACGCCTTACAGCCGTTGTAGCTGAGTTACCCTTAGCCCTAGAGCAGCGACTTCAATGTGAAACGTTTGGAATGTCCTCAGCTACTTGGTACGATGTAGCAGCTTTTTGAGCAGATTTGAGAACTTTCTCATATCATATTCACTCACATTCCGAGACTCCTGGAGAGAGTCGGCGTGCTACCACAATCGAGAAGGAGCACGTAATCTAGCCGCGGAATACCAAGCTGTTACCTGTATCGGCGACGTGGAATAGATTTCGCGGTATGGGATACGGGAGTTTGACAAATAAATTCAGTGAATTTGACATAGCGTTGCTGTCACTTTCAACCTAGTGCTAATGTCCCCGTTATAAAAGACGGGGCCACTCGTTTGCAGCGCGCTTCCGCACTTGTTAAGATCGACCATGTCGTGAATTGACTACTTTGTCGGTAGCTGTAACAGCTGTTTTTTGAGGACGAGCGCTGATTTTAACAGCAAGAGCTGGTAGTGATGAAATTTTGGCTGTATGACTGGTCAGATGACGCGAGTTTCTTACCCAGTGCGTCGAATCGAATACTAATCTCTTCGCCCCAGCAGCTTATAGTATTCATGAGATATCCTTAATGGAGCACTAGGGCTGAACCAATGCTGCTCTAAGTGCCGATAATTTTGCCCTAGAAGTAATGGCTTGTGGGATTTGAGAGCGCTTGCAAACCGACCAGTGGTCGTTATGGGTGTCAGCAAAGATCCGCGCGCACAGACCTGTTTAAAGTCTGCTCTAAAGTGACAAGCAATTTCTGATTGTTTGAAACCATATTCATGACGTGATGGTTCAGGCAAGAGTCAGTATAACTTTTGCATTAAGATACGAGCAAGCTGAGCCTTTGAATCATGGTCGGAATATTGTTATGCGCTGGACGTCAGCGAGAGCTCTACAGTGGGTGATAAAAAAGCTGCTGGGGTCGTGAATCGTGCAGCAGTGAGCATCAAGTGCATCATCCTCGGTGGATATCTTTTTAATGCTCACCAGCTCGTCTCCCAAGCTTGCTCTTTATTAGCCGACTGCCGGGTAGCAGTGCCGTAGCAATCTGTATGAACTATCAGAGCACTTTAAGACTATATTGTGAATGTAGCCTTATGAAAATTTTTGTCAACAGGATCAGCGAGAAGGACAAAAGTCAATCCTTACCTCAAGTGTATTGATTAATCCTGGCCTTATGTCATTCGGTGTTTGTGGAGGAGCTGTGACAGAACTTAAGGGTCACTGCGACCGCTTATTGAATAACATCTCGTCATTCTCACCGAGTATTGCTCCGAACGTCGGTCACAAAGGCTGCTTTATTCGCACCCGCGCTAAGCCATATGATGAGGTTCACGTGAGAGAAGTCCACAAGCAAGTATACCTTGAGGAACGGCCCGGTAAAGTGTATAGTGCGGAAATATACCTTAAGTACAGAAATTACTGTTAAAGCGTTCGTTTACGCCATGTGTTGATAAGTCTCAAGAAGTGTGGGCCCTAGTGTGGTCCATATCGTAGCGAGGAAGTGTGCAACGGGATGAGTACCATAATTTATATACATACGTCGCACATATTTGTGCATGTGTGCAAAATACAATGGTGAACAACTGTACGAAATCCGCATTCCATTTTGGTGTCATTTTGAGTATCCATAAATTGCAGAAAAGCGTCATTTTTAGATGATAGGACCCCGCAAATGATAGATAGGTGATACGTGTGGATTGCTATGCGCACGTCAGGAATTACACACAAAGATGGGATATGGTAAAAATACTCTGCGTTGAACTAGCTTATATACATCACTATCGAAAAGGCAGTAGCCAGGACTTCGTTTTATCATATACCCTCGCTTTTGAGTGAAACTTTTGAGCTCGACCTCTTGCGTTTGTAAGCGCATACTTTATAAGATCTACGCTCCCTCTATGAAAAGCGCACAGCAATCTGGCCACATGGCGTCATATATGGAAAACCAAGATATATTCATGCTGTTTAACCGCTAGCACTTTGTAAACTAGAAGACCCCCCAAGAGTCTTGACGTATTCGGCAAGAGTTTTACCTGTTGACACGGTTCACATATGCGCACATAAGCGCTTGCCCATTTGTACATGTCGGGCACCAATACATTGCTTTCACTGGGTACATGTATTTTACTTAGCCTCTCAAAACTGTGTTATATGTCTCATACAGAATTCTGTACTCTCAGGTATCATCATGAGGTATCACCACAAGCAGCTTGTCGATTGGGACAAAAAGCAACGTAATCACACACA